TTCAGGCCTTGGAAATAGTGAGGGATAATTGGGTCAGGGAACGAGGGTTACCATACGTAACCGAGACGTTTCTTTAGCAATGGCCACATTTTAAGGTCCCAGGGGTTTATTAAAGCTAACAGAAACTATTCAAACTAATTGTATACCTTTATTTTTATTCTATTTGTTATATGAAACGGACTATTATGTGATTATATCCTTTTTCTGACTTTAAATCTTAAAGTTCTATCAATCTTAAAAAATATTAAATATTACAATATTTATATTATTTTATTTTTATATTATTTTTAAATATTTATTTATTTGATTCTGTTTATGATTAATTAATCACAGAAATGAAATTAATATTTGAAAATATTAATAAGAAAAATAAGTGTTACATTTAAAAAAAACTTGTGATCATCTATAAAAAGCAATTTAAGTATTTATTATTGTATGAAATGTATTTATATTAATTTTTTTAATTATAACTGTCCCTGTATTGTAGTTGTTGTTTTAACATTTTCAACCAATTCCAACCAATACTGTAATTTGTAAAGTTTTATTAAATTTTAGTGTACTAACTGACACAGAGATTAAATATGAGGAAACTTGCGTGAGGAAAACTTTAAGGTAAAATTTGATTAAATTTTAATTTGCTAAATTTCCAACAACCTGTTATTTTGTCTAATTATGCAAAAATAAAGAACATTTTTATTTATTTTAATATTTATCCATGTATCTTTTATTAATTAATTTATTTATTTATTTGATCTGTACATATTTAATTTATTATAAATTAGTGTATTTATTCATTTATTTATTCATTTTTTATTCAGGATAAATTCTTAGTGAGATAAAGGAGTGCCGTTTTATTCCAAAAATGTCTAAAATGTCATTTCCGCCACTGTAATTGCCATAACAAAATATATAATTTGAAATGTAATGGGAATATTCTCTGTTCATACAGACGTTTCAGAACAGTGTAAATAAATGGCAATGCATGTATAAATACTGAAGCAGACAAACTAAACTAGTCTGAGTGTGTTTTAAGAGAGTTTATTAATAGAAGTCCACACGCAGGGCCAAAAGCAGTTAGCACTAAGTAGGTGATGTTGACGTCATTTCCTTGTATCAGTTGCGTCAGTCTGGGCTGTTGTGAAAGTGCAGTAAATTGAGCTGTATTCAGGTCTGAGGGTGTGCCAGGAACAGCTTTCCTTTCTGTTTTCCGGCACAGTTAATGGCCACCTTCGGCACTGTTATTTGGAAACATTAATAAATGAGCGCAGCGGATTGCTATTCTCCTTGTCTGTTGATGTTTCAGGCTGCTTAGCAATACCTATGTTTTGTAGAAGGTAGAAGATAAGAGGAATTCATCCCATTGTCCTCCATTTTCTCTCATTACCCAGCTCTTTTTACCGTTATTTCATTCTTTCGCTCGTCTTCTGTTGACAGAGCACGGCGCTTACGGCTACAAGCACAGACTCGCTTTAATGAGATATATTTTCATTACTTAGAAACCACATGTAAAGATTGAGTTTAGGCCCATGTGTGTAAGTGAAGAGCGTCAGGCTCTTAGGGGCTGTTTATGGGTGAATAATCAAAAGCGCAGATTAAGGGAGGATCATAAAAGAGGGTTTCACTCAGGTTAAATAGTCTGCTTTGAGCTTAATGTCTTGTGTATGTGCAGACAAGGGCTTAGCTAACAGCTATTTTCTGACAGCATTGATCAGCTCAAATTGGTCACATTTTTTTGATATGGCTTAACAGAGGCATGTCTTGGAAAACAGGATTTTCTTTGCTCTTTTAAAATAAAAGAGTTCAATCTGCTTTGAAAGCGAATGCAACACAAAGCTCCACCCGGGCCATTTACGGGAACTAAGCTGCAAAATTTGTTAAATTAGAACTCAGACATCATAAACATATGCACATTAACATATGCCCGCCCACATTTATACATCAACACCTGTTAAACTATGCAGCAACTTGTTTTATGATGAAAAATAGTGTGAACTGTTATTACATGGAGATTAGACAACCATAACAGATGCCGTTTACATATAGAAGTCTTAAAGGTACAGTAACTGTACAGTAGTTTAATATGACCAGAGAGAGGGTGGAAAAGGGTAATGTAAAACTAAATGATGTCTAGTTTTGGTGCATAATTTTAGATTTACCAATATTGAATTTTGTATTAGTCGGTCACTTTAAAATAACTTTAATCAATTGAAAGTTATAATTGAATATTTCTATAATTTAACTGAATAATTGAATACCCAAAAAAATGATATTTTGTAAGTTTTTACTGACTCTCATGTTGTTTCAGACTCTTATGATTTTATTATTTTTTTTAATTTAATTTTATTATTATTATTGGTGTTTTTTTTTTTGTTTTTTTTGTCAGTGTGACTTTTTCAGAGCTTCAGCTCTGTGAGATTATGACTAATAAGACATTCCCCCCCTTTTTGGTGCTTGGCTTTATAAATCACTTTACACTTTCTTTGGAATTTTTTTTTTTAATATCTACTTTTGTGTTCCACAGATGAAGGACAATTATATGGGTTTGGAATTACTTGATGATTCAAAATATGAAGAAAAAAAGTCAATTCTATACTTTTTAAAAATGAACTTTTATTATATTTATTTATAATAATAATATATAATAATGTTATAATAATTACAGTTATGTGTGTGTATAATTTATATATTATGCATTTATATTGTCCATTAATTAATGCAAAAGTTAAATCCACATACATTTAATTATTATTATTATTACTTGCTTTATTTAAATTTCACTTTCTTGAATTTAAGTGAACTCCTTTCTGTTGTTTAATATTTTGGATTATGAAAAATCAAGTTTTATTAAAATGCAAATGAGCGTCATTTGATTTCACTTTTGATTTGATTTAATTTATTCTTTTTAGTATAATAGTTGGCTTTATTAATATAATGGAAATGCACTGACGTGTGAATCTTGACCATTAGAGATCAGAGGGTGTGGCCTGTTGCCATGGTCTTTCCACAAGTCCATTTCATTGGCTAATAATCCAATAATTTATGCTGGCTAATCATGGGAGATTGTATTATTTTGGTCTTTCTAACATATCAATTTATGAAAAGGGAGCAAAATATCTCAGTTTTAAAGAAAAAAATAAAATATCAGAAATATCTAGAACCAGCCTCCCTGTGTGGGCCATTAAACTGGCACGACTTTCATATTCAACATCCATGGGAAACATTTTGCATCTATGAATATGAGCCTCTGGGATTACAGTGAACAAACAAAACCAGAAAGGCAGATGTCGAAATTGTTGTTTAGATATGAGCTATGAAGTCTTCAGATCGGATGTGAGGCAGAATCAAGGCTTCAGACATTATTGTCAACGTATCAGAGAAATTATAATGACGCAGAAAGATTGTCCCGTGAGAGCGGGGCCCGTCTGTTTACCATCGGCTGGGTGGGCCGACTCTAAGCCTGCTTTATACTCTGTACTTAGGCAATGTTGAATCTTTCCTAGACCATGACAAACACAAGTAATTTGTTGCTCTGGCTTTTTTAATGACTTCCGATGCATTAGCAGAAGCCTGGAAGAGCCGGATAGCATGTATTCCTATCCACATATAAAGGATAATTGTGCTTTCGTGCTAGATTTATAATTGCTGTGTTTGTTCTGTCATACTTGTGTGAATGTGAATGGAGTACACGCTGACATGAAGAGACTTCAAACATGGTTTACACACACAGTACATACTGTATACGCACCTTGTATTGTTCATTTTAAAATATGTTGCATTAATTAATCATTAAATTAATATTTTACGCAATTATTATTATTTTTTTGACTACATAACATTTTGTCATTTTTGGAGCTTGGCTTTATACGTCACTGTACACTTTCTTAGGAACATGGCTGAAAAATATCTACTTTTGTGTTCCACATAATTAAAAATGTATTTTAAAAAAAGGAAATAATTAAAGGGGTCATATGATGCTACATTAGGGCTGGACGATATGGCCAAAATTGATATCACGATATATTTCTTAATTTCGGTCGATACGATATAATTCCGATATCGATATGACCACTATTTATCTGAAATAGTCGGAAGAGAGGGGCGGGGTCAGCAGAGCTCATTAACATTTAAAGGAAAATGCTACAAAAATGGCTTGATCTGAAAAGAGCTGTTTTTGACAGGGTAAAAAGGTGTTTTTTACACTACCATTGAGAAATTTTAACCAAACTATGTTACAGACTTTTCATTAAGACCCTAAAGAATCATATCAACTTGTGGGAAATGGGCATCCTATGACCTCTTTAAATAAAATGAATATATATAAATATATATTGATGCAGGTTACATCAAATCGCATTCAAGAGGACAAATGTCCCGCTGGCAAACATGTCAGCTTTTTTGTTTTCTGTGTCTCCATACTGTAGCAACTTATTTCTTTAGTTAATTAATTAGTGATGCCCGATTTACTGTATGTTCCATTATTTAGCAGTCCTTGTGTATTATTTATTTGGATCAAGAGAAAATTGAGAGAATGAGGGATTTGCAGATTGATTTGATCTCAGTGTTTGATGAGGAAAAAAACTATTAAAATATAATAATTCATTTAATTAGAAAAATAGAATTGTTGTGAGTTTTGACTGGCTGAACTAAATTCACCGCCTTTGGGTCTTATTTGTCAAATCAGTCTGGGTTTGTGCAAACAACAGAAAAAAAAAATAATGTTATTTAATATAATATTATTTTAATACTAATTAACAAATCGTTGGCAGAGCACTCTGTTTTACATGGACAAGAATTAAATCTAGTAAAGTGAATTTTACTCTTACTCTTGTAGTTTAGCAGATGTTTATCTAAAGCGACCAGCCTCTGTCCTATAACCTTACTAGTCCCGAAATGTATCCTCATGAAGGCCTAATTAAGGATGAGAAATTAATTGAGACACTGTGCTGGTGAATTGTGCTTAAACATGGTTGAAGAGTTTGTTTTGTGTTCGTCTGTCCCAGCATGTCTCTGCTGAACCACGACTGCCAGCCCAACTGTGTCATGATCTTTGAGGGCAAGAGACTCACGCTGCGAGCTGTTCGGCTCATCAGACCCTGTGAGGAGGTACAGTATACTTATTTGCTGCCTTTTTTCTAGTCTCTCTCTCTCTCTCTCTCTCTCAATGTATGTCATTTTTCTCCTGCCTTGACCCAGGGATCTTTAAATTCATAGGAATCAATAGAAAATTATAAGCATGGGTCTCTGCTGTCACAGGGCCCTAGACAACATTACCAGTTGCCAATTCGTTATTATTATTTTAGCCATTTCTGCAGCACCAAAATTGAATTTTAATAATGACTTTTCAAACAGGTTTTCCAAACACAAAGTTTTGATTTTTAAATGATTTCTTACTCTATTATTCTTAGTTGTAATTTAGTTTTGGAATGATTGTTTTATCATGTTTTTATTATGCTTATTTTGATTAACTTATATTTATTTTCATTATATTTTGTTATATATTATAGTGTGTGTGTGTATATATATATATATTAGTTTAGTATATATTTTTATGTACTGTATGTTTAGTTAGTTTTGGAGTCTTGAAAATGTCTATTAGTTTATTTAAATATTTTAGTGTTAATTTTTATTTTTATTTATATTTCTGATAACAAATGATAATAATACATTACAGTTTTGACTTTTTAAAAAATTAATTCTCACTTTATGTTAGTTCTAATTTAGTTTTATGTTTTTTATTATGTTTATTTGTATTTTTTGTTAGTATACATTTAATTAGTATATTCTTTAATTTAGTTCAGTTTAGCATATATTTTTTATTAGATTTAGTTAGTTTTGGAGTCATGAAAATGTTTTTTAGTTTAAAATTTTCCCAGTAATGTTAATTTTTGTTTTTAATTTCTATTTCCATTAAGGAAAATGTTTTCATTCAGTTTTTGTTAGTAATAATAATAACACAGTCTCCTACCCCAAACTCACTCCATGCGTTGATTGAGCCAAAAGTTGCGATGTCAGGCCGCTCAAATAAACATAGTAATATTTTCATACTGCCATGGAGCCACAGTGTTTATACATTCAGCCCACAAATAGCTTCCTTGCAGTTGTCTGTTCATATTAAACTGGAACAGGAGAAAGTGTTTTAACTGCCATTGAATTACACACATCACACCACAGTTTCTCAAGTGCAGGCACTTAACGGAGCCTCCTGCCAGATTAACTTCACCATAATTCAGTCATCCGATGAATAAATCTAAAAGCAACATCCTATGTGTACATTTACTGCATTTAGCATCCGCTCTTATTCAGAGCATCCTGCAGAACTATTTAACAATCAGTCCGGACTAATCGAAGCTCATTTAAACCTATTTGCACACATCCGACACACCACCAGCCTGAAAAACCAGCAGAGAGCCAAGATATGCATACACATTATTCATATACATTAACACCTGAATCCATTTGGCAGATCTGTGGCGGGATGTGGTTTTTAGCCTCAAAGATAGAGAAACTCTCATTATGCGGCCGTTCTGTTTATTTCTGCTCTGAAAGTTTAGATATTCCAAAGTAAATCAGGCAGTCATGCTTAATTTACCTCTGGCAGGGGGAGGGAACGTCGAGAGAGGAAGTGAACTGGAAAATGAAATTACCAGCAAGCTCTCTGTACACAGGAAGTAATGAGAATTCAGAGTATAGGTGTGCGATATACGACGGCAGAATACATGAGCGCTCATCATCCCACAGACTCTGTTTACACACACACAAACACACACACACTCACGGAGCGATTATCATTCATACACCCACACACATCTGCACACTGTACACACGCCGCTGTTTGCCCATAAGGGTCATACTCATTTTGGATCTGTTTTTCGTTTTCTCCTTTTCCTGTTTCTGTTGCTTTCTCTGTTTACTCATTGTTTCTAGTTTTATGTACCTATCTGCCCCTCTCTCTCTCCACTCAATAACTCATTCATTGGAATAACTGTTTTCAATTCTCTCTCGCTCTCTGACCTCACAGAGGTTTGGAAATGAAATAGCTTTCTGCATACTCTGCTGTATATTCTGCTTGCTGCATACAATTTTTTGTAGATAACAGGTGAAACAGTATGCAAATACATGTTTACAGTAGTAATATGCTACATTGTTGTCACATGACTTTACTACATTGCATATTTAATTCATTAAATGGTGTCCAGCTATAATCTTGGATATAAATGTGGTTATTTCACATATTTCATCCAGTTTTAAGGAAAAAATGCCTTAACTTTTGACGTTATGATCAAATGAGTTAAGAAGGTGATATTCAAAATCATGGTCGATGTTGCTTATGATTCATTTGTCATGCTAGACTGATGAGGTAAAAAAAAAAGTTACTAAGATTTTAAAAGAAAAAATTGTAATGAGTATATTTTTATTAAAGGGGTCATATGATGCGATTTCAAGTTTAAAGAGAGAGAGAGAGAGAGAGCGAGAGAGATAGAGCGCGAGAGAGAGAGAGCGCGCGAGAGAGAGAGCGCGAGAGAGAGAGAGAGCGAGAGAGGGAGAAAGAGAGAGAGAGCACGCAACATTAAAGCATGTCAACATATTCTGTTACACCAAATACACCAAATAATGATCTTTAAAAAAGCACCCCTTTAAGTTAATTTTTTCCCATTTTTAGTATATTTTACAATATAATACTATATATATATGTATATATATTGGTTGTTTACAATATATATTTAGCATATATATAAAAATATTATTTGGTCGATTTATTATTTTTTTTTGGGATAGTCAAGCACATTGCACTGTGGGATACAGTATTACCTGATTATGCGCAGCTTTCTGTGGTTTTATACTGTGCATTTTAAATAAGCAATTTCACTGCACTCACAATTAATAATAATAATAAAAAACACTGCAATAACGACGTGCAATATAAAGTAATGTATAGAATTGTGATATTAATACGTGATTATGCAGGCACTTTATGCATTTCTTTGAAAAATAACAGATAGTATGTAACTCCAAACACACCCATAACTGAATGTACTTATAGAAAGCGGTAAATAAATTGCTTTCAAAAAACCTCTAAAGACAGAAAGTCATCAGAAATCACAATCATTGTTCAGATTCTCCTGAGTCGCCTGTCACATTAGATGATGAAAACAATTTAAACGATTAGCTCCTTATAATTCAGCACCAATTCAACCTTTTCCACTCTGATTATCCGTATGTCAGCTCTGTTAACAGCCTGGAAGATGGTTGAACACATAAACACAAACATATGCACAATAAAGCAATGCATTGTTTACATCCTGCAGAATTGGACCAAAGGGAAAAGACCATGTGGTTTTCAAATGTTAGCTCAGCAGGCAGACTTTCATTATTCAAGACAAAACTGCCACAAGACATTGACTACGTTCCGAACCCTAGTGAGCTGCCTGTGTAACACAGTCATTGTGTTTATTGTATTTCCCTCTTAGATTCTGCAAGTTGTCTGCGATTTTTCATTTAACCATCTCTAATCTCTCTTTTTCATTCTCTTTAGCTCACTATAAGCTACACTGATATCCTTGCGACCAGCAAAGAGCGACGTTCCCATTTACAGAAGCAATACCACTTCCTGTGTCAGTGCACGCGCTGTACCACGGAGGACAAGGTGAGCCATAGCAACAGCCTCTCAGATCTATCTTTCCTTCCTTTATCCTCATTTTTCTATTCCTCTCACTTTCACCCCATCACTCCTGGAAAAGGCTTCTCCCCGCCTCGTTGTGTCCTGGCGGGATCACTATCTATCATCCCTGTTCTCCTCCATGTTCTCTCTTCCTCGCTCTTTTTCTCTGTGTCTGTCCCACTCAGCCCTCGAAAGCATCTGATGTGTGTCGAGTGTGTCAGACCGGTCCTAGACCATCACCGGTCTCTCCGCACTGCCCCGGGGAGCCCGTCCTCAGCAGACCCTGTTATCTGTGATCATCACTGCGATGACAGGAGCATGTCAAGAATAAAGCTTTGGATGGCATGAATGGGAGTACAAGAGAGCGGATGAATAAATGCCTAAAATGGAGTGAGGAAAGATGGGAATTTAAAGGTGAAGTGTGTAATTTTTTGGATGTTAAAATACTTTCTTCTCCATACTTAGTCTGCACAAACTACTCTTGAGTAAACCATTTGTATGTTGATTCCCAGAGAACTGTAAAGACTAATTTTTTCACTTCCGGAGCATGTCAAGAATAAAGCTTTGGATGGCATGAATGGGAGTACAAGAGAGCGGATGAATAAATGCCTAAAATGGAGTGAGGAAAGATGGGAATTTAAAGGTGAAGTGTGTAATTGTTTGGATGTTAAAATACTTTCTTCTCCATACTTAGTCTGCACAAACTACTCTGAGTAAACCATTTGTATGTTGATTCCCAGAGAACTGTAAAGACAAATTTTTTCACTTCCATTTGGTGGAAAAATCCATTTCCATTTCTTTACAGCTGTTTCTAAACTAGGCTGTGTCCCAATTCACATACAGTCCATCCTAAATAGTATGCAAGATTAGAGTTAATGCATCTCGGACCGGACATTAGACAGTTTTAAGTAGTTGTTAAAAACCCATCTTTTTTAAATTGCCTACATAGATTCGTATTTTGTTGTATTGGTTAGCTGTACTGTTTAGTATTGATTTATTGTTTTGTATTGCTACAGAATTTTGGTATTTTATTTGTTTTATTTTTAACTGTTTGTAGTGCAAAAAGTGCATAATAAATAAAATGTATTATTATTATTATTATTATTATTATTATTATTATTATTAGGTGTTTTCAGTGGGTTTTCAGGACATTTTGGGATTTTGTTTTTAAATATTATTTATTATCATTTAATTTAACATGTTTTATAATATTTTATAAAAAACAATAATAATAATCTTAATATTAAATGTGTGTGTGTGCGAGCATGTATGGATAGATAGATAGATAGATAGATAGATAGATAGATAGATAGATAGTTAATATAGATATATGTTAATTAAAAATGCATTTTTTAACATTTTAAACAGATTTATAATTGTTAT